TTTTTTTTCCCCCAAAGCCCCAGTAGATAGTTGTATGTCATAGCTGCACATCCTCCTAGTTGCTGTATGTGGGACGCGGCCTCAGCATGCCGGAGCAGTGGTGCATCAGTGCGCACCCGGGATCTGAACCCGGGCTGCCAGTAGCGGAGCACGTGCACTTAACCACTAAGCCACGGGGCCGGCCCAAGGCTACACTTCTTATCACTGTTACCTGCACATCCATTTTCTCCCTCTCTACACCTTTTTATAAAGACAAAGGATAAAATGCAGTCACGCTCACCCCACTGCACAAACAAGCCACATCTGGCCAGGCCAAGGTGGCCACAAATCTTCAACAGTACGTCGGTGGGCAGGCAGCGTCCCCCTTTGGTCGCTGGGAATGTTTGTTTTTCTGTTTATCTACAAAGGCTAAAATTCAATACTCGGCTTGTATCATCTGTTTGTCCTTCTGGATAGACTGTCATCCTTCTGCCCCTGCTCTGTGCCCTGAGAGGCTGACAGCATGACCGGCGCCCCTACCCTCCCTGGCTTCTGGTGCAGCCAATGAGGCTTCAGCAGGAGATGGGAGGACGGCGGGGGGGGGGGTCTTTACTTCTCTCTCCCTAAATGTGGGCTGGATATACTGACTCGATTTTAACATGCAGGATGTGGTGGCAGAAGTGACGCTGGGTGACTTCCTTGGCTGGGTCATAAAAAGATACGACTTCCACCTGGCTTTCCTTGTCTTGGATCACGTGCTGTGCGGAGGGCCACTGCCAAGTTGGGAGGATGTACTCGAGCAGCCGAGTAGGGAAGAATTGAGGCAGGGAGACTCTGAGCCAAGACAGCCCAGCAAAGCCACTCCTGGATTCCTGATCCACAAAAACTATGAGATAACAAGCGTTTATTGTTTTAAGCCACTAAGTTTTGGGATAACGTGTTAGGCAGCAAGGGAGAACTACTATGGTGACAACAGTCCCTTGCTCCTACCTCAGGACCTTTGCACTTGCTGTTTGCTCTGCCTGGAATTCTCTTCCTCCACCCCCTTCAGGTCTCCTCTCACATGTTACTTCCTACAGCCTTCCCTGACCCCCCGCCCTTATCCATCCCCCTACTCCGGTTTATTTTTCATCCTAGAACTTATTATCTCCTGTCCTATTATATATTTGTTTCTTGTCTGTCTCACCCACTTGAATGCCAGCTCTACAAGGGCAGGGATCTTTTTGTTCGATGCTGTGTCTGCAATGCCCGGAACAGTGCCTGGCACAGAGGAAGCGCTCCATATGGTGGCCATTATTATGAGAATCTAGCAGATCTGATTCATGTCAGGGCTAGATCGGCCTCTCATCTGTTTGATGCCCACCATGGCCAGGGGATGGCACATAGCTGTGACCTCTGCCTCCACTGGGTAAGCAGTATTTGACAACTATAATGAGGCAACCCCTTCATGCCTCCTCACTTCCCACAGGATAAAACCCCGGGGCCTCTGCGCAGCCTGCAGGCCCCGTTCCTGCCTGAAATTCCACCTTTCAGCCACAAAGAACCATGAACTCTTCACATGCCCTAATAGAGGGGGCTCCAGAGAGGGGTGCATAGACCCCACAAACAAAGCTTTGGGGTTCTAGTAGAAAACATTAGCACATCTATACTTTTTAACCTTCATTTTTGTGTGTGTGCTAAGGAATATCATTATGTAAGAAATATATTATTATAAAATAATCTACAGAATCTATTGGTATAACTGTATTTGTATGTAATTTATAAATAAATATCCATCTGGGGGTGGGGCTCCAACATTTTTGGAGTTATTTATCCTAATGCGATTTTGCCCCCCAGGGGACATTTGGCAACGTCTGGGGACATTTTCAGTTGTCACGACTGGGGGAGGGGTGCCACTGGCATCTAGAGGGTGGAGGCCAAGGATGCTGCTGCACACCCTACAGTGGCCCGGGCAGCCCCACCACAAGGAACTATCCAGCCCAAAATGTCAATAGAGGCCAGGTTGAGAAGTCCCGGCTTAAAGCGCCAGACTCTTTCTTGATTCTGAGGGGTCTGCACGTGCTGTTTCCTTCCCTCCACTGCGTTCTTCACCTAGCCCAGACCTCAGATTTCCTCCAAGAAGCCATCGCTGACGCCCTCAGTCTGGGCCAGAGTGCCCCCTAGCTCTGTCCTCCAGCTCCCGTGCTGGTTTAGAATCGTCCTGGCCCACGGGGTTCTCAACCTTCGGGTTTGCAATGCAGATCCCCAGGAAGCCGGAGAAGCCGCATTCTGCAGGACTGCTAGGGACCAGGAATCGGTATTTTTAACAAGCACCTCCCCCTTCCCCCTACTGCCTGTCCCTTCGGACTGGCACATAGTAGGTGGCCCAGAGACTAGTTGAGTGCCTACTGCATGCCAGGCGCCCCTAAGTGCTCCACCCGGGGTCTCGAATCCTGGCGCGCGCGCACCCCCCCCCCAGGATGTAGCCGCTCTCATCATCCCCATTTTACGGAGGAGTAAACTAAGGTTCAGGGAGGGGACGTGGCCGGGTAAGAGATCCAGAGTGAGGAAGGCGCCCAGGTTGTCATCAGCGCCTGCGTCCTGGGGGGAAGGGAGGGGAGAAAGCGATGAACGTGGGGAGCGCGAGCCCGGGGGGCCCGGAGCCTCGCCGCGGCCTTCCGATGCGGCCCCGCCCCCACGAGGGACGTGAAGACGCGGACCCCGCGCAGCGTGGGGACATGTGACCGACTGCAGAGGCCGCGCCGCCTCCCCCGCCCGAGGTCTGCGCGCTCCGCCGCAGGGTGCAGACCCCGGCGCCCGCCTGGGTTTGGGGCGCAAGAGCAGAGGCGGAGCCGGGGCGGAGCCAGCGCGCCCGGTCGCCCCCAGGAATCGAAAGCGAAAGAGGGGCCGGGAGGGAAGGGCGGAGCCGGCGGAGGCCCCGCCCCCTGCCCTGCGCGGCCGCTGGACCGACGGGCGCGCCCAGGTGGGGGCCGCTGAGCGCGCAGTGCGGACCCTCGCGGGGACCTGCGCCGCTGCCACCATGTCTCAGGAAGGTGTGGAGGTAGGACACGGCTACGGCTGGGCCGGGGGCCCGCGAGAGGCGCCGGGGAGGGGCCGGGGCGCCGAGAGGGCTTCGCAGTTCCTGGGCACTCCATCCGAAGCCCAGATCTTGCTGCGGGCTGGCGCTGGCCCCCATCGGAAAGGAGAGGGACCGCCACATCCCCCGGAGCGAAATGCGGCCTCCTCGAGGAAAAGCGGGGGCTGCAGGGTTAAGGGTCAGAAGTCAGGGGTTACCTGGCCGGCCTCCTCCCTTAGTCTGGGACGCGCGCCCCAGTCCACTCCCTCCCCCAATGGCCTGTGGAGACTTTGGCTTTTTCCAGGAAATGCCGTAGAGGGATGGAGGGGGGCGGGGGCGGACGCCAAAAGCAAGGGTCAAGTTCAGGCCGGGAAAAGGATGCCTAGAGATGGCAGAGGGGCTGCCGCTCCTCTCCTTGCCCCATCGGAGCCCCCCTGTCCACACCCCAGCTGGAGAAGAGCGTCCGGCGCCTCCGGGAGAAGTTTCACGGGAAGGTGTCCTCCAGGAAGGCGGGGACTCTGATGAGGAAATTTGGCAGCGACCACACCGGAGTGGGGCGCTCCATCGTGTACGGTGAGCGCGCGGGTCTCGGCCTGGGGCAGGGGGACTTCCACGTGGGGGAGCGCGGAGGGAGTGTGGTCTGTGCTGATGGTAGGAGGAAGCAATGAGATCATCTCTGGGGAGGGTCTGTATTGGGGCTCTGGGGGCCCCGAAACTCCCACAGGATCCTGCCAGGGCTCTTCACCTACACTTACTCTCCCCACCAGGGGTAAAGCAGAGAGACGGACAGGAACTGAGTAATGACCTGGATACCCAGGTAAAATGCCCCCTCCCCTCAAAGGACGGGCTGACGGGGGGAGGAAGAACAGAGGGGACCCGGCCCCTCCGTGGTGGCCCCCTCTGTGCCGCAACCAGTCCACAACTTGTGGTCCAACCTCATCCACTTATTCACCTCTCAGTCGTGTGTCTGGCCAGGGAGCCTGCAAACAGTAGGCGCTCATTACATGTTGATTGTATTAAATGAGGAAGAGACACGTGAAACGAGGTAGTGAAACGAATAAGGATTAATGTCATCATAGAGGAGTTGTAGAAGTCAGGGAAGGCTTCCTGAAGGAGGTGGTGCCGGCTCTTCAAGGCTGGCAGGAGTGATCCTTGAGAAGGGGAGGGGTCGGGAAGGGTCTTCCTGGAAGAGGGAATAGCTTGAACAAAGAAACACACGAACAGGCTGGGATGAGCAGGAGATGGAGGAGGAGAGACGGGCAGAGAAGCCCATGTGTTGAATGAATGAATGAATGAATGAATGAATGAATGAATGAATGAATGAAAGGCTTTGAGGCACAGGTGCAACATGACCACTTTGCCCCTTAATGGCTTTGGTGGCTGGTGGATGTGGATTTCTGCCTGAAAGGCCCAGCACAGAGTTGTTACATAGTATCATAAAGTATTGTACTATTTATATTTATGCATAAAGAGTATAATAGCCAAGAGTAGCATCGATTGAGCGCTTCCCTTGAGGCAGGACGCCAGGAATTTTACCTGTTGATTGATTTCATCGCCACAGCGACCCCATGAGACAGGTCCTGTTATTTATCGTGTCCGTTTTACAGATGAGGAAACTGAGGCACAGAGTGACAAAGTCACTCGCCAGGCTCACACAGCACGCAGGCGGCAGCTGGGATTTGAACCGCAGCCACCTAGGGTTTGAGCCTGGGCCCCGGATGCCCCTCCGTAGGGACCCAGGGGGAGTGGCTTGGCCACGCCCCCACAGCTGGAAGTGATGAACAGGATTGGAACCGCCGCTGTCTGAAGCCGGAGCCCGAGCCTTAGCCTCAGGCGGCATGGGCTCAGAGGGGCGGCCGGTCACAATGCCAACGAGTGTGTGGCGTTCGCCGGCAGGAAGGGAGCGTGGGGTCCGGGCCTGTTCTGCCCAGGTCACTCAGGGGGATCTGAGGCAAGCCCTCTCCCGGCTCCAGGCCTCAGTTTCCCCATCTGAGCAATGAGGAGAACAGGTGTGCCCATCTCTCAGGGCTGCTGTACGATAACTGAGGTCATGCACCTGGCTCTCAATATGGGGGTGCTGCTCAACCAGCTCCTCGTGAGTTAGGAACACCTCACTGTTAACGCCGCCAAGACCCTGCCCCCCCCGTCCAGGAGCCCCGCCCCCAACAAACAAAGATGACAAGAGACCTGAGCCACATCCCCAGTTTGTGCCCATGGTGTCTCCACCCAGGACCCCCCGGAGGACATGAAGCAGGACCAGGACATCCAGGTGAGTCCGGGGTGTGGGACAGGGGAGGTGGACTGGGGAGGCCATGGGGGGGGGATGTCACAGGGGCAGGACGGGGCGTGTCTGTAGGGAAGGGAGGGCCGACACAGGTGTGTGTTGGTGAAAGACCACCCTCTGGTCCCCCCCCCCATTCTGCAGGCGGTGGCGACCTCCCTCCTGCCGCTGACAGAAGCCAACCTACGCATGTTCCAGCGCGCCCAGGAAGACCTCATCCCCGCCGTGGACCGCCAGTTCGCCTGCTCCTCCTGTGACCACGTGTGGTGGCGCCGCGTGCCCCAGCGGAAGGAGGTGATGACCCAACCCTTGACCTTGATTCTGCCCCAACTCCACTCCCGACCCCCATCCTCAGTGTTTGAACCCCTTACCGGAGAACATCAGCCCCTGAGAGCCCAACCTCTGACCTCCAGGCTCAGAGCGCAACGTCGTCTCGGACCCCAGAGCCTGACCCCTGAGCCCACAGTTTGACAGCTACCCCAGAAATCAAACCTCAACCCCAAATCTGGCTTCTGAGCCCCCTGGCCAGTGGTGTGCTTCTGGTGAATGCTCAACAACAAGCTCGTAGCCCAGATTTGTAGCGTTTGCCAATTTCCATGGTGTAACTATTCCCACTGTGGCCAATATCAGGCAACAGTGTCAACCTGTGACAGCTGGCCTGTGCCCCTCTCCATGCCCCCAGGTGTCCCGGTGCAGGAAATGCCGGAGGCGCTATGACCCGGTGCCCTGTGACAAGATGTGGGGCGTGGCAGAGTTCCACTGCCCACGGTGTCGACACAAGTTCCGGTGAGGGCGCAGCCCCCCACCCCACCCTTGCCCCGCCCCGCCCCCTGCCCTGGCCCCGCCCCCCCCAGCCGGGCTCTTGGACCCTCATGGCCCCGCCCACCCCCAGGGGCTGGGCGCAGATGGGGTCCCCGTCCCCCTGCTACGGGTGTGGCTTCCCCGTGTACCCGACACGGATCCTCCCTCCGCGCTGGGACCAGGACACGGATCGCCGTGGCACCCACACCCACTCCTGCTCGGCCGAGGACTGTTACAACCGGCGAGGTGAGCGCCCAGCGGGTCCCCGGGGCCCCACTCAGGGCAGTGTACTCGGCCTTGACTCCTGGGATGCCCATCTCTGTGGCCTTAAGGACCAAGGGCTCCGCATGCTTCTTCCACATGCCTCACGAGACCCCAGTCCCCCTGGCCACCTCATCTCCCATAGCATCAGCCCCTCCTTCCACGTCTTCCGTGGCCCCCCAGTCTCTGTGGCCTCTGACACCACGTCACCCAGGACCCCGTCCCTCCTAACACCACCTCCCATGGCGTCAGCCACCTTCTGTGGCCTGGGTGCCCCATGAGGCTCTGTGGCTTCACTCCAGTGGCCCATACCCCAGTGTCCCCGTGGCCTCTGCCCCTGTGGTCTGTGTTCTTGGCTCCTGTTTCGTCTCCTGGAGTCTCAGGTGACACGATCCCTAGGCCTCCTGTGGCTTCAACACCTGTTACTTTCACCTCGGAATTTCCTGTAGCCTCATAGCCCAGAGCCCCCCTTGTCCTCCGAGTCTCACGTGGCCTCGAGCCCCGTGACCTCAGAGCCTCTCCCTCCCCAGAGCCCCACGTCCCTGGGACGTCCTGCGCGCACCCCAAGAGCCGGAAGCAGAACCACCTCCCCAAAGTCCTGCACCCCAGCAACCCCCACATCAGCAGTGGCTCCACGGTGGCCACCTGCCTGAGCCAGGGTGGCCTCCTGGAAGACCTGGACAACCTCATCCTGGAGGACCTGAGGGAGAAGGAGGAGGAGGAAGAGGAGGAGGAGGGCGGGCACGGGGATTGACCCCTCCGGGTGCAGATGCAAACCAGACACAGTCTGTGGATCTTTTGTGTTGTTATAAAACATGAGCTCAAACCGAGATCTAAATGCCCTTGGGGAGCCATCAAGGTCTGAGACATTGGCCGGGGGATCCTGGGTCCTGTTTGCAGGGCCCCGGGGAGCAGATCCGCAGCGGGAAGGTCTGTGGGACGTGGCCCGCACTGAGCCACGAAGGAGGCGTGGCCAGGACAACCTGGGCTCCTGCGGACCCACATCCCTGGGACCTGGGGGACAGACGGACCGATGGTCACAGCCTCAGGGGCCGGATCAGCATGGCAGCCTTCTTGAGAGAGTAAGCCCCACCACGAAACTCGGCCCAGTAGACACCGTCCTGGTAGCGGCTGCGATAGTGGCCACCTCGGTGCCAGACACCGTTGAGGTTGGAGTGGGCACAGGCATGGTACCACCAGCCTCCCCGCTGGTACAGGGCGCAGTTACCTGAGGAGAGAGAGAGTCCATGTCCTCTCACCAGAAGAAAAGCCCTTACCAGCACCTCACTGGTACAAGGCTTTTGCCAGGCATTCCCCTGGCCATTCCTATTCTTATTGAATATAAGCCCTGATCTTCTATCTCCTCACCAGAATAAGAGCCCTGGCCCTCACTTTCTTTTTCAGAGTAATAGTCCTAATTCCTTCCCTATCTCCTTACCAAAGTACAAGTCACACCTTTCCCACCCTTTCTGCTAACTAAGAGCTCTACCTTTCATTCCTTTATCAGGGAAAAAAAAATCTTCTCTATTTCCTCTTTAGAATAAGAGTCCTAGCTCTCACCCCCTGCCTTTCACCAGAACAGGAATCCTGACTCTTGAAAAGGAATTGCCTTGTCAGAGAAGGAATCTGGGCTCCCTGTCCCCTCACCAGAATAAAAGGCCTGTCCTCTGTTCTCATGTTTACCCTGATCATTACCAGAGGGAAGTCTTACCCCACTCCCCTTCATTCCCTCACTAGGAGTCCCACCTCCCCTGTCCCCTCTCCACCAGAATAAAAGCTCTCCTTACCAGAATAGGAGTCTCGGTCCCTATCCACGGTGCTGAAAGGCTTGTCATTGTGCCAGGAAAGAGAGTCTCCAGCATCTCCGTGGTACTGGCCAAGCCGGAGACGGTAGTGGTCGCTCTCAGGCTCCAGGGAGAAACCATCATAGTGGGCGCGGGCCCCACGGCCCCCCCAGTCCTCCAGGAGCACCAGTAGCTCGTGGTCCCCACGGCTGGTCAGCTGATGCACAGGTTCGAGACCCAGCCAGTATTCCCCATCAGGCTGTCCAAAGCCCACCTGGCAGGACAGGAAAGTCAGGTGGTCAGAAGCGGGTCCCCTCCACTGCCCAGCCCTGCCCCTGCCCACCTGTGCCCACCTTGTAGTGCTGCCAGGTAGTGAAGAAGTTGACAGAACCATCTTGTCGCCTCTGGATCACAGTCCAGCCTCCACCCTCCAGCTGTTGCTCACACCATGCCGACACCACATGCCGGCCTAGTCGCAGCTCATACACTCCGTTCCGCTCATGGCCTGCCCTGTGGGCCTCCGCACAATCCTGCCACGGGCCTGTGGGCACAGAGATATCGGGGAGGCACAGCCTGGACCAACCACCCCTTACTGGAGTAAGAGTCCTGATTCTCACTGGTCCCCTCACCAGAGTAGCAGTCCTGCCTCTCCCATCCCCTCACCAGAATAAGAGCCACAATACTCATTTCCTTGCCTGAAGACTCTAAGTCACTCTTCCCTCACTAGAGCAAATGCGGAGCCTGGAGCTCTTAAATCCTGGTTCTATGGTCTCTTTACCAGAATAGAAGTCCTGAACATGGCACTCTAAACCAGCTCAAATTCTCACCAAAGTAGCAGTCCTAAATTCCCTGCCCCCTCATCAAAGTAAGAGTACCTCCTCTCCTATTTTCATGCCATAGTAAGAATTTTGGTCTTTTATCAGAATAAGAGCCATATCTCCTTGTTCCATCACCAGATTAAAAGCATCATTTCCTCCAATCCCCTCACCATGAGAGGAATCTGCCATTAAAATCCTGGCTCCTCTTTTCCCCTACTCATGCTGCACTGAGCATCCTCTGGCTCCTACACCCCCAACAGCCCTGCCCTCATCTTACCCGCTGGCTTGGTGGGGACAGCAGGGTACCCTGCGGGCATGGGAGAGGCCAAGGGCCCCTGCTGTCTCAGGGTCTGTTCTCTTTGGGGCTCTGGGGCTCGCTGTAGCCTCCTGCTGTTGTCATCGGTGCCACCCACCAGACTGACTGGAACCACAGGCACCAGGGGCGGTGGCAGGACCTGGGATGACCAAGAGAGTCAGATGTGACTGCACCAACCACCAGCCCAGGAGTCCCTGGGCTCCTAAGTCTCACAGCACCCCGATGGGTAGGAGATCAGCAATACAGGGTCTATATGTATATTACGTAACACCCCGATCACGTGGGTCATTGGTCTTGATCTACATAGTAATATGCTTGATCTCAGGATCCTAGGAATATTCATATCAAGCGGATAAGTAAAGTCTTTTAAGTAGCCACCAGTCGCGTTTGAACGCAAATGGGTTACAGGAGGAGAGCAGGAATCCAGTTTGGGGAGCTTTTGGGGTTTCGGAACTGCGGTTAAGAGACGATGGGTGACAGGAGGCCCGTGTGCCGGACGGGAAGCGGTGCGATTCCGGGGGGCTTCGGGGTTACCTGCTGCTGTCCGCCCGCGCCCCCCGGGCACAGGCGCTCCAGGCGGGCGATCAGGCCGCTCTGCTGGCTCACCAGCTGCGCCAGCTCGCGGAACTTGACGTCCAGCTGGTGGAAGCGGGCGGCGGCGCGCTGCGCCTCGGCCGACGCGTTGAGCACGCGCTCCCCGAGCAGCGCCAGCGCGGCGGCGGGCTCCGCCCC